CATGTGCTAACTGGTTGTGCCACTGGAGCTTCTGGAAACATATTTTGGAAGCTTCTCCAATACCAAGTCATAGATAGTACACACACAAACACACATCTCCCTTTATTTTGGAGACAAGATGTCTTGGGTAGAGTACACGTTTCTCTGTCTAGCTTATTTTTCAAATTTTGTGGGGTCAGAGACTGAGCAAGGTTTACTTCCTATAATACTTCAGTTCTGTCTGGTCCTCAGGTTATTCCGTAAACCTCAATAACTAAGGGAAGATGGTATAGGGAAGGGAAAAACAACAGCAAGGAATGGAATCAGAAGCCTGGGTTTCCACTTGGCTAAGTGGCCTTGGACAAACCATTTATGTTCCCCGAGCCTCTCATCTGTGAAATGGGAACAATAGACAATCTGTCGCTATAACATAATATTTATTGTACTGATTGTCTCTAGAGAGCCTTCGAGGGAAGAAGAAGAGGTTTATCAGCACCAAAGGGGAGGCGGATATGAGGACATCTCTTAATGGTAATTCTACTGTCATAAGCACAGATCTTTAGCCTTCTCTGCTTAGCACACAAGCAATGCAGGGTCAAGCTGTCATAGTTTCAGAGAGCCATAGAATGAATCAGGGTTGGAGCAGTTTTTTCCTAACGAAATCTCATCTAATAAGCCATCATTTTGACTAGCAGAATGACTCAGTTGCAACCTATGGTATTGTCCCAGGGGAAGTTTTCAGGATTGAAGAAGAGGAAATTTTTTGTTAACAAGCATGACAATACTTTGTATGTTAGCTTTCCATTGCTGTGACAAAATATCTGAGAAGACAACTTGAAAGGAGAAAAGATTTATTTTGGCTTACAGTTTCAGAAATCTCAGTTCATGGTCACTTGTTCCTATAGCTTTTGAGCTCTGACAAGCAAGAGCCTCATGGCAGGGTGTGTGTTCACTCACTTCATGGGGGCCAGGAGAGAGAGGTAGAGAGAGACAGAGACAAACATAGAGAGACAGAGATAGAGACAGAGAGAGACCTTCAACACATGGCCCTTACGGGGTGCTCTGGAGCCTGTGTCCCAGTGTATCTATGATGGAAGGTAGCTTACCTGATAAGGAGGCTCCCTTCTCTTTCACAATTGTGTGCAGTGGATATGATTTTAATTGTTAAAGCAGCTATATCTGCTTCTACCCAGAGCAGGCCTGGCTTTTCTGGTTATAAAAATTCTAATGCTATAGCCAAGCAAAGGTAAGAGAGGTTACATCTGGCCAGATGTCCTGTAGCCTACCTTGGTACAAAGCATTAACTTTATACAACAATTCAGGGGGGAAGGGGAAAGAAACTATTGAAGATACCTGAGATGCTGAGAAGTGTTTGCACACCTGCCTACCACAGTGCCTGGCACATGCAAAGCACCCAGTACCCAGCTGTTCTTATGAATGGATCAACAACTGAACAGTGGACTGAAAAAGACAGGGTTGTGGGCAGAGCTCAGGGGTAGAGTGCTTGCCCTGCATGTGTGGGGCTCTGGGGCTCTGGGTTCAGCTCTCAGCACTGGAAGCAAAAAACTATCACACAGCAGAGCCAAAACACTACACACTGGTAGCTGATAGAGTTGGGGAAAATACTGCCATGTCCTAATAGTTCAAAAAACAGCAAAAATTTTTTTTCCATACTAGGGATTAACCCAGGGTCTTGCTAAGCAAGTGCTCTACCACTGAGTTATATCCCCAGCAAAAGAATGAAGAAACATCTTATTTAAGACTTAAGAAAATAAGATTTAATTAAATATGAGCAGTAGAAAATAGCAGTATCTCAGATTTATACCAGAAACATGTTTTGAGTATCTTTGTATGCCAGGGATTGTGTTGACCTTAGGATGTAGTGGTGAGTAATCAGTGCTAGATCTTCTATCCTATGAGGTAGGAAGTGCGACCTACTATTAGATGCATGTTATAAGCCAAGGTACAGGTATAGAAGGAAAAGTAGAAATATCACAGGCACATGAGAAGGCATATGCAAAGGGCCTGAGGCCGGAGGAGCAGGAGGTATGTTGGAGGATCTTGGAGCAGGCCAGAGCCCTGGAACATGGAGAGTGAGAAGAAGGCAACAGTTGATACAGCCAAAACATGGTATGTTATTCCTGATAGTTTGTAATCCCTCATAAGGGTACTTGGTTTAAATACAAGAACATGAACTTGTGGGATGCACTGTGGGGAGAGAGGAGAGAGGATCCCCTCTTTGCACTGTGAAATGAGCACAATGAAATCTAGATGAAATTTCAACATGAGCTCAGCCAGGCTGTCAAGGGGAGTGGGTGAGACAGAAGTAGAAAGAAAAGAACAAGAGTGTGATTCTGGCCATGTCTGGGAGGGGGACAGGAAGGGCCATATGACTTTTCTACTCAAAGGTATCATCTATGACGTGTGATGACATTGGAGCCGGTAGGCTGGAGAATCGGGGTCATGTGTAATCTAACAACTTATGTAGAGGAAAGGGCACAGAATCCTGTGGCCTTGGGGTGCAGGTCCCCTAGACCCCAGGAGCGGTCACTAGGATGCATGGGCCTCAGTTTCTGTTTCAATTTTATGTTTTTTTCTTTTAGAAAAAATATCTTCTAAGGTAAAATGTTAATATGTGTTAGTGATAGTAGTAGATATACATGTGTATGTTTTATTCTTATTTGATTCTCCCGTGTGCTAAATTTTTGTAATTAGAAGAGTGAGGGGCAGTTACAGGAAGGGAGGAGGGACTGGCATCAGTGAAACAGAGAGAGTCCTGCCTCCAGTCACAGACCCGCTGGGCAGGCCCTGCCCCTGGTCCTCAGGCATCTTATCCCAGGAAAAGCCCTGGGAGCCGAGGGTCTTGCCAGTGCCTCCTGGCTCTAAGACAGTCTGGGATTCCAACTTCTGAAGACAATTGCTTATTGGATAATTCTACTTACAGGCTTGCAGATGTAGTGCCCCGTGCCCACAAACCCTTTTTCTTTTTTAGCAAAGAAGATATCCAATCCAGCTCGGCACAAGGTGGCCAGTGGTGCTCTTGTAGTGAAGACCATGCGTTGAAATTCATTGGCATTTTTGAAACCCCTGAGCTCACAGGGTGTTCACAGGAATTTGGACCCACCCAGAAGCCTGTACCTCTCAGGCAGCCGTCTTTCCAGTCGCCACCTCATGTCTTGGTTGCGTCCCTCCGCGTTTGTACCAGCAGAGACAATGGCTAGATATTGAGGCTGAAAAATTCTGCTCCTTGCTCTTCCAACTTTGGATTAGAAATACAGTAATGAAAAGGGTACAACACACATGGAAGGCAGATGAGAGCTGGCACAGGGTACAAAAAGTTACATAACACATTCACTCCCTGGCTTTCTGATTTTTTCAAATGCCCTGACGGGTCAAAATTAGCTGTGTGCCTTCGATCATGGCTTTCTGATGAAAAAAAAATAGTGCCATGAATTTGGGATTTTTTTTGTTCTTGCATATTGTTCAGGATGGCGTCATGGGCCACCTGGGGCCTCACTGACACTCTTTAGTGGGGACAAGGGTGTGCATGGCTACCCCCTGGCTGGCCTCTTTCCCCTGGAGCGGGGCAGCTGGAGGAGGGGAGCCCCCACCCCACAGGCAGTGGAGGAGAGGCGACACATGACATGGGTCCTCTGCAGAGTCAGCAGTCCTTGCTGACACGGGGAATGTCCTCCGGGCCATCAGCTGCCGGGCCGCCTCCTCTCCAGTTTCTCTTAGGTGGGTCCAGTTTCCTTCCGATGCATTGAATGAACGAGAAGAAGAAAGTGTGTGCTGGCAGAAATTCAGCTGAATGATGCCAAGACTTTCCAAGTAAGAGCAGGAATTTAAGCAGAGCAAAGATTCAAGTCAATGGGATGCCAAGTAAATGGCAGTTCTGCTGATAATGAAAAGTACAAATGTTTTTATGTTCCAGGGTTAACAAATGGGGTTCTTTCACTGGCCTACTGGTCTGCTCAGTTACAAAGTGGAAACTTCCTGATCTTTGCTTTAGAGCACTTGTACTTGCTAAGTGATTGGGAACATTTTCCTCTTCACATTTAAGGGTTGGAGAAAGGACTAATTTTTTAGAAATAATTTTATTTAAAAAAAAAGTATTTTTAAGTAAAAGTTTGTGTGTTTTTTTTAAGGAACACGTTTTCCCTTTTGCAACCAAACTTGATGGTTTAAAGTAATAGGTTTTCCAAATAGCACCCTTAGGCTTTGCCTCCAAAATTATCACGTTTATTATGGGATTAGAACTTTCTAGAAGATATGTCTCCACAGGATTCTCACTCTGCCCCAAAGTATGGTGCTTCAGAGCATATTACAGAAATATAGACAGAATGGACTATCCTCTAGGACTCCTTTTGTAAGGGTAATCATTACAAATAAAATGGAGGCCATTTTTCCTAATGAAGAAAGAAAAATTAAATCCATTGAGATGATCTAGATCCTTCATGAAAGCATTGGCAATTCATGGTAGCTGTGTTTATTTTTATTTGCTTCTCTGATTCATGTCTTTTGCCAAGTAGCCATAGCAAACCATAACCAGTCACCAAAGTAGTATTTTGCTTCATTCCTTAGGTTCTTCCCGGGCTGGCTTCTCCTTGAATTAAACTCTGCCTGGGCCATGCCTCTCCATTTGTGAGCATTTGGAACCACTGCTGCTAAGAAGCAGTATTAGTTGGTGTTATTATCATGGTCTTGGGCTGCAAAGAGTGTTTGCATAGGAGTTCATGCCTTCTCTTCAAGCGTGGTTGGTGTACGGGCACAGATATAACGAAACTTACTCGTCAAGGGGTTATTTTATTCCACTGTTTTAAACAAAACTTAGAAAACATCCTGGCTGAAATGCTGGGGAATCTCCTAGAGAAGCTCTGCGTGACTGATCGCAGGGGGCAAGTAAACTCTGAGTGCACCCCTCCCTCACCCCGGCCCCTTACCCAACAGAGAGCTGCTGGAGGTGGTGAGGGAACGCAGTAACCTCAGGGAATGAACCCACTATCCTTCTTCCTTGTCAGATCTCCCAGCTGATGACAGAGAGTGCCCGTGAGGGACTGACGGAGGCGGCGCTGAACCGCTACAATGCAGACAAGCCCGCGGCCTGCAGTGTCCCAGCCTCGCAGGGTTCCTGCGTGGCCAGCGAGACTTCCGCAGGGACCTCGGTGGCTGCATCCTTCTTCGCACGGTAAGAGAGATGCTCGGATCCTTGGTTCTTTCAGATGCTCCCAGCTAGTTAGCGCTCTACGTGGACCCTTTCAGCTAAAACAGTTAGAGTTTGGGGCCACTTCGACTTTACTGTTTAAGACAGGATTTCTCAACCTTGGTATGCTGGTGCTATCATGGACTGGACAGCTCTGTCATGGGGACTGTCCTGTGTGCTAGAATCTTTGGCCTCTACCTGCTCCGTGTCAGTAGTATTTCTCCCCCCAGGAGACTACCAAAAAGGTCTGCAGATGGTGTCATATGTCCCCAGAGTTGAGAAGCACTCCTCTAAAGATGGATGAGGACTTTTGTAGGTGCAGCCGTGAGGCTGGTGTTTCAGATATATCTGTTAATTACCGCCCCTAAATTGAGTATTACATAGAAGACAATTTTTTTCCTTCTTGACTAGACTGGCCAGATAGTTATCACGTACTATCGAGCTAATCCTGGAAACTTAAAAACATGAGAAACAAAAAAGAAAGGTATTTTAACAATGTTTTCTGCCTAATTTTAGCCACATGGCAGAGACGGGGTTGGAGACACAGGACAGCTGAGCAGGACAAAATTTCAGGGGCTGTCTAATTTGATCGCCTTACTTTATGAATGAGGAAACTGAGGACCAGCAAAGTTCAACTGCGAGTTAGTTTATAGCAAAGCCAGAAATAGAAACCAGATTCCTCTACTTTTTTTCTCTATGACTCATTCTTTATTTGATACTTGGCACTGAACCTTAGAAAATTTTCTCTGTCTAAGATCCAAAGATCCCTTGGGTTCAGGACGCAGCCCTGACTCAGTTTCTTTGTGTATAAAATAAGGATAACATGTGCTGCAAAGAAGAAGATAAGGTAATTGTAAATTATAAAAAGGCTTGCAAAAGTCAGCTCAGTACAGACTCGGCCATTGTGTCAGCAAGAAGGAGAACTGTATGACTTGTTTTATCCTTATGCATGGTGACGTCCAGGACACGGATATAAGGAAGGAATCTGACTGGGAGAGGAGCAAGTCAGGAGGACAGGGGGCGAATGTCCCAGATTAAGACCCCGCGGAGGTTACCCTTTGGGCCTTAAGGAGCACAGCCTTAAGGAGCTTGCTGTGCTTTGGTGCCATCTGAATGCTAGGGCCAACTTCTATGTGTAGGAAGAAACAGGAAATGTGCCCATGTTGGCCCCTCGGAGTGGGGTCGTTGTTAGCTCTGTCTGCATGAGAATCTCTGCATTGTTTGGACTTCTGAGCTGGAACCCTAAGCTTGCTAGGAGGTCATGTCCATGAACGATGGGACAGTTCATAAGAAAATGCTATAAGCTTAAGAGCTCCTAGGACCTAGACCAGTTATTATAGGGTGTAGTGGGGCGTAGCCAAGGTGTTGAGGCTCTAAGAAGCCATGTTGTACAGGTTTAGTCTTGACACGAGAAGGATTAAGGTACATTCTAGCTTTCTTTAGTAGTCCTTTGGGTCATTGTGTGAAAGGGGCTGTGGGGGGTTCTGTGGAGCACCCAAGAACATAGGCAAAGGCTGACTAAAACCTCGTGACAGACGGAGACATTTCCCAGGTGAGAATGAAGGGGAATTTACACTTCAAACAGTGCAGGAGGGAGTGAGGCTCCCATCACTGAGGGAGAGCAAGGTTACTCTGAGTGGTTCCCTGACTTTGATAACATTCCCTGTTCTGATAGAAGGAAGCACTCCGTGTTCTGATAGGAGTTGACTTCCAATGCGCCTTCCTAACCTGAGATTTGTTAAATGTGAAAAATCTGTAGTTTGGAGTCTTTCCAGAGAATTTTGAGGAAAATTACCTTACAAAACAAACAAAAATTCCAGAAGGATTTGAGGCAGAAAGGAGTAAGAAGTTAAGGCCCCTGATGGGTCACGGTTGGGGAGAATAGGAGTCTCTTGGTGCCAGGAAGCCAGCACTGTCTTTAGTGGTGACAAGGGCTGTGGAAATAAAATAGGCCTGGGAACGCTAAATGGTACCCAAGGCCAGATTTCATGTTAATCAGGGACAACTTACAAACACGCAAACAAACACCAGGGAAGCAATGGCAGATGACTGGCTAAGACAGTCTTCCTGAGACTCATCCAGCCAAGGGGTGGAATGGAGTCACCCAGGCAGACCCTATGTGGCTGGGCCAGGGACAGCGGCGGGGGGAGGCCCTGCACATGACATGGGCAATAAACAAGACTCTGAAACTCATCTGTTAGAATTGCAAGCTTGAGGTCTGAGCTTTCAAAGAGCTGGAAAAGATCCATAGGGCTGCCTAATTCCTTATTGTTTCCTTTGTTGTGAACATTGATGGCTCTTAGAGCTTAATGGTGTAGGCACTGGAAGTGCATGGTTTTGTTCAAAAGGTTTACAGTACAGAGGGGGAGTACCATGTGGCAGGTAAACACACAGCTATACTTACACGTCCCTTTCCCCTTACCTGTTATTATGTGTTGCGCTGTTCTTCACATCAATAGTAGTTGGGCTCTTCTTCCTCCCGACAAGGGAGGTACATTTAACACCCTGCCTGTCGCTGAGGGGCGCTTACAGCAGAAGGCTGAGTGGCTTGCTCCAGATTCACGGGGTCTAGAGACAGAATCAGGGATCATCTCACTTCTTTGGATCCTCAGAGCAGACATGACAAGTCAAACCCAGCTTGTGCTGTCCAACAGTAAACTCAGCCAGTATCAAAGCACCTTTGAGTTTCAGCTGCAGGCAAGCTGTGGAAGGCCACGGCACAGGCAGCTTCTCATGGAGGTGAAATATGGATGTGTCACTGGCGTTGGGATGGGAAATGCTTCATCGATTATGGTTTCATGTGGTGGCGAAGGATACTCTGTCCTCAGAGAAATTGGGAGGCAGAGTCAGTTCCTACCCCTCATGCCTGTGCTCACCATTTTTCAAGATTCAGCCCTCTGAGTTTCCTGTTTTCAAGATGGCGCCTTGGTGCTGGGCCCTCACATGGTGGAGTGTGGGAGGGGAAGAGAGATCAGCCCTCACTGAGCCTATTTTAAAGGGACAGTAATCCATTTGTGAAGCAAAGCCCTTATGGCCTAGTCACCTTCTGAAGGCCCAACTTCAACACTAGCACAACAGGGATTAAGTTTCAACATGAATTTTGGAGTGGAACACATTCAAATGATAGTATCTGTTGAATGTAAGAATAAAGAATTGGGGCTTATGTTTTGTATATAATACAAAACAAAAGAAAAAATGGTCCTTTGCCTCAGGTAGTCTCAGAGCACTGCTTCGGGGAATGATGGAGCCGAAAGCACCTGTTCTGGGCTTCTAGGCCTCTCTTGCCAGAATTTCTGTTTCTCTAAATAACCAGCATCTTGGTATTTGTTTGTACTTCAGAATTTTAGTAATCTGTGTTTGGAAAAACATGTTTTTGGAAAAAGAAATGGTGAAAAGAGAAATGAAGAAGAGATTGGTGTTTTGTTCCTCAAGTTAACTGTCGTGTGCTGGCTTTGAGCATAAAAAACATTTCAAATGTGGGAATCTCCTTTGCATAGTTCTTCCCTCAATATGAAGTGGCGAAGTAGGGTATGATTAGATTTTCCCATATGCTAGCTGTTCACTCAGTAAAGATTTTACTTAATTATGCACTTTGCTTTGTAATGCACGAAGTACGTGAGACTCCGTAAAATCCCTTGGGTGAAACCCTATCATTGTAGGCTGAGGCAATGAAATCTTCCTTGTTTGAAGAGCAGGATGCAGATTCTGGATCATACATCAAATTGCCTTGAACCTTGGAAAATATAATGAATCTTTTGCATAACCTCATGTCATCATATTGAATTTTCTTTCCCAAATAAACTGAGCAATCATTAACAACTTTAATTTCTTTCTTATTCATCAAGCGAATGAGCCTCCAGAGGATTTTCATCCGCAGTCTGAGCAAGTGTGTGAAAAATACCAAAAATTGCCAGTGCTCAGAACCAGTCAGGCAGGCTCTGTGGAGTCACTGAGCTTACGGACTTCCAGTTCTATCCTCTGACATCACTTCTAATTGTAATATCTTTTGTTTGCAGACTTAAATTAACCCAGGAAATCCCAAACCCAGGACAGACATATTTTTAAATCAGCTGTAAAAGTACAGGGACTTGAACTCAGGACTTCGTGCTTGCCAGGCAGGTGCTTGTGCCACTGAGCAATGAGATCAGAACCTCTCGATCTCAGTGTGACACTGCCCTTAGATTATGGCTCTGACTTCCCTTTCTCACTCGCCAGGTTTCCTACCACATCTACACCACTGGTCCAAACTCCTTCCTTTCTTAGGGAAGTCCTGCTTCTAACCCTCTCGATCCCACGTGTGATTTTTCAATCTTCAGCTTTCAGTGGCTCCTTGCCCTACCTGACAGCTTTCTCCAAGTCTCAGGAGCATGTCCCTGAGTGTTTTATGACTCTTCACTGGTATCCCTGTGAGGCCAGAGGTTGCCATGGCAGTAAAGCCACGAGCAGCTGGGGTCCTGGGGTCAGGGACTGAGCAGAGCAGAGAGGGCTGCCTCCTGCTTCTGAGGCACCACCTTCAGGACCAGGCTCCCCTTCTTGTCAGCCCCCTTGCAGGGTCTGCTTTCGGTGCCACCTAGGCACAAGCCACTGCCTATCAGCTATTTTTGTAGTTATTACTGCAGTCTGCACTGCCAACCTAAATAACACCTTGCTGTGCCGCGTACAGCAATGCATTTCATTTTATTTTTATTTTTTTTTGGTTTTTCAGCAATGCATTTCAGTGCATGATTCAGTGAGGGCTTTCTGTAGTCCCTGGGCACTTCATACATTAACAGTGGAACTTGGTTAGATGCTAGGAGTTTATTGAGTCTAAAGAAGGATGAGGAGGAGTGCAGAACCCATCACAGTTGGTCCTTTTGTTCTTCCATTAAGCACAGTTCCCTTTAGGGATGCTTACATCTTCCCATTAGAAATACAGCAGCAAGCATTACAGGAGAAAAACCACCTGAACATGGCATTTGGTCTCAGGTGATGGAGGAAGAGAACAA